TTTAGGCGGCTGCGCTGAAGTTCAGAGATTTCTGGGGCATCCAAGTTCCCAGGAAAAGCACTGCACTGTGCAGGCAACGGCCTCAGACGCATCTGGCATTTGATCTGCACAACCAGTTTTATAGGGTGTTTGCTTTATGTGGTACAGATGCCGTGCGCTCGATGCTTGTTCATAACAATCAGCCTTGGAAGGGCATCAACACATGGCCGAGGTGGCGCTGTGGGTTAAACCACAGAGCCTAGGACTTGCCAATCAGAAGGTCGGCGGTTCAAATCCCCGCGACGGGGTGAGCTCCCGTTGCTCGGTCCCAGCTCCTGCCAACCTAGCAGCTCGAAAGCACATCAAAGTGCAAGTAGATAAATAGGTACCACTCCGGCGGGAAGGTAAACGGCGTTTCCATGCGCTGCTCTGGTTTGCCAGAAGCGGCTTAGTCATGCTGGCCACATGACCCAGAAGCTGTATGCCTGCTCCCTCAGCCAGTAAAGCGAGATGAGCGCCGCAACCCCAGAGTCAGTCACGACTGGACCTAATGGTCAGGAGTCCCTTTACCTTTACCTTTACCTCCCGATTTGGCAAGCACGGTTGTGGCAGCAAGGGTGGGGGAGAGGATAGATGGGAGCAGAGGAGGGCAGGACCCCCCCCCCCCCATCATCTATACAGACAACTCCTGTTGGGCTTTCAAGCTGCATGCACAGTCTTCTTAATATATCTAAAGGTAAAGGTAAAGGTACCCCTGCCCGTACGGGCCAGTCTTGACAGACTCTAGGGTTGTGCGCTCATCTCACTCTAGAGGCCGGGAGCCAGCGCTGTCCGCAGACACTTCCGGGTCACGTGGCCAGGGTGACAAGCTTCATCTGGCGAGCCAGCGCAGCACACGGAACGCCATTTACCTTCCCGCTAGTAAGCGGTCCCTATTTATCTACTTGCACCCGGGAGTGCTTTCAAACTGCTAGGTTGGCAGGCGCTGGGACCGAGCGACGGGAGCGCACCCCGCCGCGGGGATTCGAACCGCAGACCTTTTGATCAGCAAGTCCTAGGCACTGAGGCTTTAACCCACAGCGCCACCCGCGTCCCTCTCTTAATATATCTAGAGATACCTAAATATATCTAACTAAAAGCTCTTTTGCCTACCTGGAATTTTAATTCCTCCATCTGCCACCCGGAGGGGGTCTGGCAATCATTTTTTAAAAAATATATATTTTTATTAGTTTTTACATGAAATTTCAAAAAAAAAAACCCATACAACCTATTTTCTCATCTTATTCAGTGTTTTGGACTTCCATCAACCACATCTGAAGATTTTTCAATCTTCATCACTTAATCTGCATTTCATTAATTACACTATTACTTTTAATAGTCCTTCACTGATAGCTCACTTCATACTTTTCTCTGCAATATTTCACATAGTCCTCCTTAGAAAATTCTTGCAATCCTACTAGCGTAATCTGTTGATTACAATCGCTTTTCAAATAGTTCACATATTTACTCCAGTCCTCTGGGAATCTCTGATCCCGCAGGTTTCGAATGCTTCCTGTTAATTTATCGAATTCTGCATAGTCCATTAATTTCGGGGGTCTGGCAATCCTATTTCATATTTGAGTGGGGAGTGAATTGGGGGGGGGGCAGCTGTCAATGTTCACTGATATCCAAACGCTTGACTTGGGAGTAACAAGGTTCTATGTCCTGTCTCGCTGTGGCAGAAGAGGGAAGACGGCCAAGACACCAGGATTCCACCCCCCTTCCCCAGTCTCCGAGAGTCACACAATTCTTCTAAGTGTGATGATGAGGAATCCCTTGCTAGGGGCTCCAGTGACTAATCTCAATTAGGCTTCCTCCGCCCGTTCCGGAAAGGTTCCAGCGATGCAGAAGGAACTGAAGTGGAACCGACGTTGCTCCAGGAACAGAGATGGCAGATTATCTATGATTAATCCCGATCTCCCCTTTTTAGTATTCCGCTTCTGGCCTGTCGCGTTATCCCTCAGACGGATGTGCGGAAGGAGGCGGAGGGGGAATCCTAGTGCGCGAGGTGGGGGTTGGGTGGGGTTGGCGCAGGGAACTCCGCACATCTCCCAACAGCTGCGGGGGCTGACTCTGCAAGCCCAGTGCACACAGCCGGAGCCTGGCTTTGATGTGCATCCTTTGTGCAGTATTGCAGAGCAGGGATTTCTGCACTCGGAGGCAGTTCAGGTGCTTTTAGACAGTCTCGTGGGAGCCATCCTGAAGAACAGAAGAAGGGGCTGCTGGATCAGACCAATGGCCCATCTGATCCAGCATCCTGTTCTCACAGTGGCTGACCAGTTGCCTCTGGGAAACCAGAAAGCAGGATCCGAGCACAAGAGCAGCCCTCTCCCTTCCTAGGCTTTCTGCAACCTTCTGCAACACGCTCCCAGAAGGTCAGTGTGCGAGTGATGCAGGCATGTGAGTGGGGCATCTGATGGGAGGGCTTTCCACAAGTCGGGTGCCACCACCAAGAAGGCCCTCTGCCTGGTTCCCTGTAACCTCACTTTTTGCAGTGAGGGAACCACCAGAAGGCCCTCGATGCTGGACCTCATTGTCCGAGCTCAATGATGGGGGTGGAGACGCTCCTTCAGGGATACTGGGCCAAGGCCGTTTAGGGCTTTAAAGGTCAGCACCAACACTATTATGCTCAGGATATATGGGTTTATATATGACAAGCATATCCAACTCCCAAGAGACTGTGATCAACTCCCAGTATAAAAGACTGGCAGTGATCTACCCATTGTCATTGGAGGGAGTCAGAGCGTGCGTGGGGTGGGTGGATTGCCTTTTTGTACATGATAAGGATCCCAGGATCAGCCAGGGATCTACCGGTAGATCACAATCTACTGGTTGGACGCCCCTGATATACAACACAAGCTTAAGATGGAGGGGCTCAGGGCATTGACATCCTAGGAGATCTTGCTTCTCCAGCACAGAGCAAGGAGATCTCTGGGTCTCCAGCTTCCAGCATCCTCCAGCTCAGCTCTCACACAACTCTGTGGCTCTTCTTCTCCTACCTACGAGAGCCAGCGTGGTGTAGTGGTTAAGAGCAGCGGACTCGTAATCTGGTGAACCGGGTTCGCTTCCCTGCTCCTCCACATGCAGCTGCTGGGTGACCTTGGGCCAGTCACACTTCTCTGAAGTCTCTCAGCCCCATTCAACTCACAGAGTGTGTGTTGTGGGGAAGGAAGGGAAAGGAGAATGTTAGCTGCTTTGAGACTCCTTCGGGTAGTGATAAAGCGGGATATCAAATCCAAACTCTTCTTCTTCTTCTTCTTCTTCTTCTTCTTCTTCTTCTTCTTCTTCTTCTTCTTCTTCTCCTACCTAGCAGCAGGGTGATGGGGGTGGAGGGGAAGTGCCCTCATTAATGTGGAAGGCCCCATCCCTTAGTTGTGGCTCCTGCAACCTGGCTTTTTCTTTTGGGATGCTGAAGAGGACACTTAAGTGGCCAGCTACGGCCATTGCCTTGACATGCTTGTCTGACTAGTTCAGCAATATAAACTTCTATTAGTATCTTCTATGAGATCCTAACCCTTGCTGGGTCCAAGACCCCAGGAACTGGAAGGGACTCAGGGCATCATCCAGCCCTGACCCTGTTAACGGAGAAATCTGAGGGCTCCCTTGGACAAAAAACAAGGACACCAACCAGGAATACCAGAGCAAAACAGCAGCCAGTAGGCTTGGTCTTTGTAGAAGACTCTCGCAACAGGACTCCCACCTGCCACCAGGTGGAACAAGATGGAAGCCCCCAACAAAAGAGAACCCAAACTTTTATTAGCTGCTAATCCCCTGTTACACCCCCCCCAAACTACATCATGAAAGGGGAGGTCTGGCGTGGTAGTAATCTGAGCATCCTGGACCCTGCCCCATGGTTCCCCTTGCCCTCCACCAAACACCCATCAAGTGGAACAAAAGAGATATTTACATTTCCCTGTTTCCCAGCCAAGTTAATCACACCCTTTGGTCTTCATCTGGGTTTGTTATTTCTGGAATGGCTACCTGTCTGGCACTCAGGTATCAGGATGCCAGGGATTATCCCTCAGGCAGAGGGGCTGCTGAGGAGCTGAGCTCACATGTCTATAGGAATTTCTGAAGTTTTCCCTGTGAGCCAGAACATAGATACATTTATCAGTGAATTCTTACATTTGGTATTGTGCAGCAGAGGCCCTTTGAATAGATAGGAAGAAACTGTGATGAAGTGTTTTGTGGGGACAAATCACAAAAGCGATTGTGCTGATTTTGGTAGTGGGCTGCATGTGCGTGATATCTGCTGGAGGAGCAACCCCCCCCCAACCTATACATAAATTCCTGCATCCCCAAACCCACCACATCCTGTCTGTATGCTTGTGCTATCCAGAGCTGGAGGGAAATGTGCTTGGCTGTCAGAGCCAGACGTGGAAGCCAGCGCTCCCTGCTGCGTGCAGGATTGCTGCGGCCAATCTTTCTGCATCTCCCCATCGCAGCAGCAATGCACCGAAGATGATTTCCCCAACAATAAATGGCTTGTCTGTGTTATTTAGTCAAGAGCAATTGCCATCTTAATTGCATATTCTCAAGATAACACCTGTATTGAGTTACTGTAGTATTTATTTTAATTGGCTAATTGATTAATCATTTGAAAGGAGATAGCTAATTAGCTAAAGGGCCGTTAATGGGCTGACAGCTCTGATTTTTAATTGTTGGAGAAATGTTTAAAAAAAGGGAAGGAGAGGAAAGAACCACCCTCCCCCCTTGAAATCTAAACCTCCCCATGTGCCAAAGAATTGTGATAAATCCAAGGCTTTGTTTCTGCCAGCAGCCAGCCACCCAGCCAGGCTTTCAAGGGGTTACCAAGCGACCCAAAAAGTATGCTGGTTTGAGGAGCGCAAAGGTCGACATGGAGAAAAGCGTTGCATCCTCCTTGCGCCCCTTGCGCCTGTGCATCAACCTGCTGCGAAATGCAGAGCTCCAGACACCTGAGGGTGACCTGCCTTGCTTGTGGCTCTTTGTCTCCCCCGCAGCGTTTTTCACAGAGACCCCCCACGACATGACCGCCCGGGCTGGTGAGGACGTGGAGATGGCGTGCTCCTTCCGAGGCAGCGGCTCCCCTTCGTACTCGCTCGAGATCCAGTGGTGGTACGTGCGCACTCACAAAGACTGGACGGACAAGCAGAACTGGGCCTCCAACCAGGTATGGCAGACCCACTCCTTCCCCCCACCTGCCCTGCCTCTACCTCTACCTCTACCTCCACCTCCACCTTTCCATTTTTTTGCAAAGAGCTCAATGCAGCTACATCTCCATTGCAGACACCCTCTCTGCAAGAATCCACTCCGAGAAAAGATTCCTGGTCAGGAGCAACGCCCCCGCCCCCGAAGCCTCCTCTGGGGATCCTTTTGGCGCTATGAAGAGCAGGCCTAGAGAAGGGTCTAATATTCATTCATTCATGCATGCATTCTGTGAGGAATGTGTGTGGTTGCTCACCAAGATAACAGCCAGGACTCCGACCTGTCTTTTACAGGTTTTATTGAGTGCAAAACCTATGTACAGTGCATAAGTCCAAAATCCATGTCTGCTTCAATCACTAGCAGATTCCGGAAGTGGTTTCTTCCGGTTCGCCCTCCAGCACAAAAGCCCAGGAAAAACCCCTCTCCGCCTCTTTTCCTTACGCTTAATTCCCTGGCGAAAACTCTGGATGACGGAAGAGGCATTTCCAACTCCTTGGGAGCGGTGTCGTGGCTCATCTCAGCCTGAGTGAGCCTCTGCCTTCTTCATCCGTTGCTCCTGAGGGCTCACCTTCACCAGACTCTGACGAGGTGCAGCTGCTCAGCAAAGGGGGAGGCTCTCTGTACATTCCTGCCTCTCTCCCCCCCCCCTTGATGGCAGCCCCCTGACACATTCATTCATTTATTTATGCATTCATTTATTTATTACATTTATATCCCACTTTTTTCTCCGAGGAGCTCACGGTGGCCTATAAGGTTCTGTCATTCCACTTTTAATCCCCACAACAGCCCTGTGAGGTGGGATAGGCTGAGCGGCTGTGACTGGCACCCAAGGTCCACCCAGCGAGCCTCGTGGCCAAGGGGCCATTTTAACCCTCCAAAGGCCTGGTCCGACACTCTGACCCCCTGGACCATACCGGCTCTAATAGGGGTGTGCAAGATTTATTATTATTATTATTATTATTATTATTATTATTATTAGTTATTATTGCTATCTGGAGATTTTAATTTTCATTATGAAAGCTCAAATTCGTTTTGTCTCTCGTTCATTTAAACTGCATTCATTTCATTATCGAAATTGCTCCCATCGCTGCTTTGACGTCGATCTCTAGACGTCTCAAAATAATATTATAAATACTGTCTGAAGCCCCTAACAATAAATCTGACTACTTGGATGTTCTGCCGTCACAAATCTTTCTGAGGGTGGCGGGGGGGGGGGGAACAGTGGCTGCCCCATCACCAAATGGCAGCCCCCTTCCAACTCTATGATTCTGCAAAACCGTCTCTTCCAAAGGCGAAAGAGATCCCTTGCCCAGGGCAGAGCAGGTTGCCCAGTGGCCTCCCTGCCTTCTGGCACCTGATACCATCAGGGGGTTATGCCCCCCCCCCAGTTCTGCCACCATCATGTTCTCAGCTGCTCCTGGTTCTTCTCCTCCGTATCCTCCCTTCCATCTCCCGCTCCTGCCTTTCTCTCCCGTGCTATCAGACTCAGCAAACACCTGTCTCTTCCTTTCCCTCTCGCTGCTCACACAGAGATAAGGGCCAGACAATGGCGAGGGCCTCCCGCCGTGGTAATGGGGCTTGGTGATGATTTTGTGCTTGGTGCAACTCAGCTGCTGCCTGCGCTCATCTCATCAGCCGATGGCCCTGAGGGGTGACAGGAGGAAGGAGAGAGGGAGAGGGCACTCCAAGCTTGAGCCCCACTGCCCCAGAGTGACTTTGGGGGTGCACATGAGAACACAGGGTTGCACCCCAGCCGAGTCGTGTGGGATTCCACAGGTTCCAGGCGCATTTACCCAGTGTCTGTGTATTCTTTTGCAAATAAGGCACAGCAGAGACTGTGGTGTCTTTCGGATAGATCGGTATTAGCACATTTGTACACCTTAAGCTTCTCCTGCCCACCTAGCAGTTCAAAAGCATGTCAAAGTGCAAGTAGATCAATAGGTACCACTCCAGTGGGAAGGTAAATGGCGTTTCCATGCGCTGCTCTAGTTCGCCAGAAGCAGCTTAGTCATGCTGGCCACATGACCCGGAAGCTGTACACTGGCTCCCTCGGCCAATAAAGCGAGATGAGCGCTGCAACCCCAGAGTCGGACATGACTGGCGAACCAGAGCAGTGCACAGAAACGCCATTTCTCTTCCCACCGGAGTGGTACCTATTGATCTACTAGCACTTTGACCTGCTTTCGAACTGCTAGGTTGTGGCAGGAGCAGGGACCGAGCAACGGGAGCTCACCCTGTGGTGAGGATTCGAACCGCTGACCTTCTGATCAGCAAGTCCTAGGCTCTGTGGTTTTACCCACAGCTCCACCCGCATCCCATGATGTGAATATAGTCATCTTCAAATATATGAAGAACTTTAAACCAGGAAGAATTATTTGACAGTGAAACGGACTCTTTTGGAAGGTAGTGGACTCACCTTCATTGAAAGTGTTTAAACAGAAGCTGGATGGCCACCTGTCAGGGATTCTCTAGCAGTGATCACTGCATTGGAGAAATGATTTTCTGAATGCTGATCTCTGTCTCTCTTTCCACACCCCACCCTCGTATGCCAGGGCCACCCGAGGGAGCCCCGCTCTCCCTGCCGACTTACGGAGTCCAATGCATTGATCGGTGCAGTTGTGCTCCTCCAGGCCTGGCTGTGGGTGCAGAAAGCTTTTATTATCTCCCCTTTGACCGCATAAGGCGCATGCACATTGTTTCGTGCTTCAGTTATCAGAATATGTTCCGTTAGTTTTAATTCTCACCTTTTTTAAAATGCAATTTTAATCTACGGAGCATGCATAATGGAACCATCTCCTTCACGCAGATACCCAGGAAGCCTCCTGCCAGAGCCAAGAACTAATTGGCTGAAGGTTTAATTTCACTGTTCTTTCTCCCAAGGACCTGCAGGCCTGCAGGGCTGGAATGTGGGCGGTGGGGGCGGGCTTCTCCTGCAGACGATTCTCACTGGCCTCACCAAATGACAGTCCCCAGATTCTTTGAGGAAAGTTACTGGAATGAAACCGGGTTGTTGTTTTTAAAGGCAACCTATTTTAAATGCAGAGAAGAGTCACAGAATTGTAGAGTTGGAAGGAAATCTCAGCTCAAGCATCCATGAGACATGGCCCTCCAACCTCTGCTTAAAAACTTCCAAGGAAGGAGAGTCCACAACTTCCCGAGGGAGAGTGTCCCACTGTCCAGCAGCTCTTACGGTCAGAAAGTTTAGTCGGAATCTCCTTTCTTATAACTTGAAGTGATTGCTTTGAGTCCTCCCCTCCAGAGAAGGAGAAAACAACTATGTGGTGAAGGCACCAGGCAAGACTCCTTGGGGAGAACATCCCACAAACAGGGAGCCACCGCAGAAAAGGCCCCGTTCTCATGTTGCCGCCCTCCAGACCTCTCACGGCCTCTGGCCCTCAGATGATGACGTCAGTCAGTTTATAGGAAGAGAGGCGGCCACTGAGTCATTGTGTTCCAGATCCTGCTTGCTCAAGTGCGAATGGAGAAGCCAAGCCTGTTGCTCACACCGTTTCTTTCTCCTAAAGGACCTTTCCCCCAACATAAGAGCGTAAGAAGGGATCCAGCCAGTGGCCCCGTTCAGTCCAGCATCTATCTCTCTGGATTCATGGGAGAAATCCTATCTCGTCTTCATTCTGCACATGCACCTTCTCTCCCCAATAAGAGCATAAGATGACCCTGCTGGATCAGGCCGATGGCCCTTCTAGTTACAGAATCGTAGAGTTGGAAGGGACCCTCAGTGGTCATCTAGTCCAGCCCCTTGCAATGCAGGAATCTCAGCTCAAGCATCCCTGACAGATGGCCACCCAACCTCTGCTTAGAAACCTCCAAGGAAGAAGAGTCCGCCACCTCCTGGGGGAGTCTGTTCCACTGCCACACAGCTCTTACTGCCAGAAAGTTTCTCCAGGTGTTTAGTTGAAATCTCCTTTCTTATAACTTGAAGCCACTGGTTTGAGTCCTACCCAGAGCAAGAGAAAACAAGGTTGTTCCCTCTTCCATGCGGCAGCCCTTCGAATGCTGAAAGATGGCTATCATGTCACCTCTCAGTCTTCTCTTCTCCAAGATGTTGTTGTTGTTTAGCCGTTTATTCGTGTCCGACTCTTCGTGACCCCCTGGACCAGAGCACACCAGGCACCTCTGTCCTCCACTAACTCCCGCAGTTTGGTCAAACTCATGCTGGTAGCTTCGAGAACACTGTCCCACCATCTCGTCCTCTGTCGTCCCCTTCTCCTTGTGCCCTCCATCTTTCCCAACATCAGGGTCTTTTCCAGGGAGTCTTCTCTTCTCATGAGGTGGCCAAAGTCTTGGAGCCTCAGCTTCAGGATCTGTCCTTCCAGTGAGCACTCAGGGCTGATTTCCTTCAGAATGGATTGGTTGGATCTTCTTGCAGTCCATGGGACTCTCAAGAGTCTCCTCCAGCACCATAATTCAAAAGCATCCATTCTTTGGCGATCAGCCTTCTTGATAGTCCAGCTTTCACTTCCATACATCACTACTGGGAAAACCATAGCTTTTACTATACGGACTTTTGTTGGCAAAGTGATTTCAAAAATGTACTCAGCTCACCCCATAAAAGGCTACTTGGTCAGGCGACAAACTCTGCAGCAATCCCCAACTGCCTCAACCGTTCCTCACAAGGCTTGGTTTCCAGATCCTTGATCATCCTGGTCGCCCTCCTCTGCACACCTCCCAGCTTGTCAATATCCTCCTTAAATTGAGGCCCCCACAACTGGGCACGGAACTCTAAGTGGAGTCTGACCGAGGCAGAATAGATTGGTGTCAGCACCAAATGCAGAGAGCTCAGCTCACTGCTAAGATTAGTCGGAACAAAATAAAAAAAATCCTTCCAGTAGCACCTTAGAGACCAACTAAGTTTATTATTGGTATGAGCTTTCATGTGCATGCACACTTTTTCAGATTCAGAGTGTATCTGAAGAAGTGTGCATGCACACGAAAGCTCATAACAATAACAAACTTAGTTGGTCTCTAAGGTGCTACTGGAAGGAATTTTTTTATGTTGTTTCGACTATGGCAGACCGACATGGCTTCCTACCTGCTAAGATTAGCTGCCTCCGTATGCACTGCATTGATGAAAGGTGAGATTCAGGGCACTTTTGTGTCTAGAAGCAGAGCAAATGCATGCAAAATAAGCAAGGATATAGGAATCTTAATGTGCAAATTTTATTCCATTTTTCTGGGCTATGAATCTGATTTCTCTGAGCACGGAGGGCTTGTACAGCCCTGCTAACAGAACATGCTACACCTACTTTTGCAAACTGGCTGGAGGGAAGGAGGAGGGCAGCTGGGCTATCCTGCCTCCTTTCAGTCCCAGGGACGAGGTGCCAGGTGGGGGTCAAGCCAGTGCATCAAAATACTTGCCTTGCAAATACATTCCCCCACGAAAACAATCTCATCCCAAGACCACGTCTTCGTCTTGGTTTGCTCAATACCTTTATTGATTTTTAAAGTAAATGTTAAATAAGAGAACAAACACAGTTCCTTAAGAATATAAGGACAAGAAATGTCCACAAATCATTTCATTTTAGCGAGTTCTAAATATTTGCTGCCGGGCGTCTTGCAGATCTTCTTCCTTTTAAATTCCGTTATTTGAAAGAACAGAGATTTGAATGACCCTCAATCACACAATGCAAATCAACGGGGAATAATGCTCTTCCCTCTGATGGATACGTCATCCACCAGTGGCTTCAGACCTCTTTTTGCCCAGGCTTTTCCTGACCCAGAAGACCCAACAGGGGGTTGGAATAGATGACCCCTGGGGGTCCCTCCCAGTTCTACAATTCCATGATTTGACCCTGTTTCATATGTTTGAATGCCGTGGGTTTTTGTTTTATGCGCTCTTTATACTTGTGGCCTATTGATTTTAGGCTGCATATTTGTTCAAATGGATGTTTTTACACTCTAGATAGTGTATGCTGCTTAGAATTTTATTTTTAAAAAACAAACAAGCCATTGAGCTGTTAAATAATTAAAATGAATGCCCCTCTCCAATTCTTGACCCAATTTGTGGCTGTGGAGTCAGCCCACCAGACCTTGCCACCCTATCCACTGGACATGACTGCCCAACAAAGCAGAACGTTGGAAGATTCACGACAGGCAAAAGCACAGTGTTAAACTGTGGAACTCCCTGCCATAGGAGGCAGTGACAGCCACCAACCTGGATGGCTTTCAAAGAGGATTGGAAAGATTCAGGGAAGAGGAGAGGGATATCAAGGGCTGATAGCCAGGATGGCTCTGCTCTGTCTCCACAGCTGGAGGCAGCAGGGCTTCTGAATCCTAGTTGCTGGAAACCTCAGGAGAGGAGAGATGTTCTAGTGCTCAAGTCCTGCTTGCTGGGTTCCCATTGAGGCATCTGGTCAGCCACTGTGAGCACAGGATGCTGGATTCAATGGACCACTGGCCTCATCCAGCAGGCTCTTTGTGTTGCAAGGATCACTAAGTTGATATCTATGAAATGTGTTGGGCTGTGCAATATTAAGTTTGTTGTGTTGGTTTTTGTGTGTATATAATTTTTATTAATATTCTGTTTTACAATTTAAAATATTCATTTTGCATCCTTAAAATATCAATGACTTCCCTTCTTCTGTTTCCATTTTTTTTTTAATATTAAAAATCCCTGCACGACGGGGTGAGCTCCCGTTCCTCGGTCCCTGCTCCTGCCAACCTAGCAGTTCAAAAGCACGTCAAAGTGCAAAGTGCAAGTAGATAAATAGGTACCGCTCCGGCGGGAAGGTAAACGGCGTTTCCGTGCGCTGCTCTGTTTTGCCAGAAGCGGCTTAGTCCTGCTAGCCACATGACCCAGAAGCTGTACACCGGCTCCCTCGGCCAATAAAGTGAGATGAGCACCGCAACCCCAGAGTCGTCCACAACTGGACCTAATGGTCAGGGGTCCCTTTACCTTTAAACCATTCAGTATTCCATTATTGCATCCATCAAAACTTACATATTTACACCATTGAATTTATCTTAATGCTGCCAATGTTTTCAAGTGTACACAATTATTCCCCACATATTCAATAAACATCTTCCAATCTTCTTTAAACGTGTGTTCTTTTTGTTCTCTTATTCTATATGTTAAGTCTGCAAGTTGTGCATATTCTGTCAACTTAAGTTGCCGTTCTTCTTCGTTTGGGACGTCACTTGTTTTCCATTTTGGGGATAACGAAACGCAGCCAAAATTGTAGCGTACATAAATAGCTTTTTCTGACACCTGGGAATTTCAGTCTGAATTATCCTCAGCAGAAAGGACTCTGAGTTTTTTTGGGGAAAGCGCTTTTAAACACGCAATAGTATTGAGGTAGTGAACTGGGGCTGCGCAAATTATTTGAGTTACCCCTGGGAAAGCACACGATCCCATGCACCTTGCTCTGTCCTGCCATCTGCCTCTTCTGGACCACTTCTTTTCCTTGATTCTGCTTTCATGCTTTGGGTTTCTTCTCTCTAAATATATTCCCCCCCTAATTCATTCCCCATCTCCGCTCCCAGCCCAGTTTTGCCTTTGAAGACTGCATTAAAGGCCAAGGTGTGAATTATTTTGATGGGCTTTCTGTGGCCCCCCTCCTCCCCCCCCCTTTTTCCTTTTTGTATCAGGCTGAACTAATGGGTTCTTCTTTCCCCTTCTCTCTCCCTCCCTCTTTCCCTTCCATTCCCGACAGCTAAAAGCATCTCCACAGGAAGAGCCCGGGAAGGAGGCGACAAAAATAAGCGTGAGTTTTTCCGATAATGACTTCTCGGGAAGGCTTTAAATCAAGGGCACGGCAGCGGCAGCTTTTCCCTTGTGATGTGGGGAGCGCCCGGGGTTTTTCAGCAAAAATAAAATGTGATGAAATGCAGAGCTAAGGACTTGGGAAGTTCTGAGAGAATCCTTTGCCCTGGCTGCCCGTTTGCCAGGGAAGGAAGCGGCATCAAGAACGTAGGAAGAAGCAGCCTTGTATTGCTCCATCCACCTCAATATTGTCTACACTGACTGCCAGCAGCTCTAGAGGGTTCCAGGCAGAAGTCTCTCCCAGCCCCACCAGGCGATGTCAGCAGGGACTGAACCCAGGGCGTTCTGCATGCAGAGCAGCTGCTCTGCCACTGAGCAGGGGCACATTCCGCCAAAGCAGGCACCCTCAAGGCAGCCATTGCCAACCTGACGCCCTCCAGATGTTTGGGACTAAGACTTCTGAAATATACTCGGAGTCCAGAGTTTATTTCCTGCTCTTTATTCAGCTCATAGTGGTGAGGAGGAATGGAAGTTCCCCCAGAATGTCTGCTTTATATACATTATTTACACAAAGGGCCCCACGTGATTGGCTAATTCCGGGATTCTCCTGTAGGCCAATCAGGTTGTGGATTCACTTTCACCTGGAGCTGGATTGGGTGGCTCCTGTGGACCAATCAGACTGCTGCATTCTGGATCCTATTTTTTCTAGGACCAATCAGACTGCTGCATTCTGAATCCTATTGTTCTAGGACCAATCAGACTGCTGCATTCTGGGTCCTATTGTTCTTGGACCAATCAGACTGCTACATACTGGATCCTATTATTCTAGGGCCTATCATACTGCTACATTCTGGATCCTATTGTTCTTGGGCCAATCAGACTGCTGCATTCTGAATCTTATTGTTCTAGGGCCAATCATACTGCTACAATCTGAATCCTATTGTTCTAGGACCAATCAGACTGCTGCATTCTGAATCCTATTTTTTTCTAGGACCAATCAGACTGCTGCATTCTGAATCCTATTGTTCTAGGACCAATCAGACTGCTGCATTCTGAATCCTATTGTTCTAGGACCAATCAGACTGCTGCATTTTGGATCCTATTCAACTCAGTACATAACAACTTCCATCAGCCCCAACATCTTGCAGCTGGAAGGAACTGCCATCCAAAGCATCTGCAGGGCACCAGGTTGGCAAAGTCTGCTTTGAGAAGCTGGGACCAGACAAAGAGTCTTCTGCTGAATCTGCCTAGCCAGGCGCTGCTTCCTCTGACTGCCAGGGGCTCCCCAGGATTTCCCAGAAATGCGAGTACTAACAGGTGTCTTTGGAGGAAGGGGCCCTAGGACTTGGGGGGCTGGCAAGGAGGCAGCTGTGGCAGCAAGAGGGAGCCCCACCGTGAGCCTGGCCAAAACCCAAAAGGGTCTCTGCTCCATTTATATCGCCGTGCGGCTTCTGGAACTAGGAAAAATATACCGTATTTTTTGCTCTATAAGACTCACTTTTTCCCTCCTAAAAAGTAAGGGGAAATGTGTGTGCGTCTTATGGTGCAAATGCAGACCGCACAGCTATCCCAGAAGCCAGAACAGTGAGAGGGATTGCTGCTTTCACTGCTCAGCGATCCCTCTTGCTGTTCTGGCTTCTGAGATTCAGAATATTTTTTTTCTTGTTTTCCTCCTCCAAAAACTAGGTGCGTCTTGTGGTCTGGTACATCTTATAGAGCAAAAAATACAGTACATTCTTATTTTTTCCAGGTCCCTTTATCCGTTTTGATCCCACAAGGCAATTTGCCTCTGAGCAACTTGCGCTCCCTATGGTGACTTTCCACCCTTTCCACCCTCTGGTCATTTGCATTCTTTGTTGGGGTTGCAGAATGGTATCCCAGAAGCAGGGCTGACAAGGTGGGGTGACCGTCTCAGACGGCAGGGTCCCCCCAGACAGCAGACCCCAATGCTGATCTAATGCTTATTACCCCTAAATTGATTTCTGAAGCTCCCGTTGTTCGGTCCCAGCGCCTGCCAACCTAGCAGTTCGAAAGCACCCCCGGGTGCAAGTAGATAAATAGGGACCGCTTACTAGCGGGAAGGTAAACGACGTTTCCATGTGCGGCTCTGGCTCGCCAGAGCAGCGATGTCACGCTGGCCACGTGACCCGGAAGTGTCTCCGGACAGCGCTGGCCCCCGGCCTCTTGAGTGAGATGGGCGCACAACCCTAGAGTCTGTCAAGACTGGCCCGTACGGGCAGGGGTACCTTTACCTTTTTATTCCGCTTTGGTCAGACCTCAACTGGAATACTGTGTCCAGTTCTGAGTGGGCACCACAATTTAAGAAGGATATTGACAAGCTGGAAGGTGTGCAGAGGAGGGCGACCAAGATGATAAAGGGTGTGGAAACCAAGCCTGATGAGGAACGGTTGAAGGATCTGGGTATGTTTAGCCTAGAAAAGAGGAAACTGAGAGGAGATATGAGAGCCACCTTCAAATATCTCAAGGGATGTCACATGGAAGATGGAGCAAGCTTGTTCTCTCCTGAACTGGAGGGTAGGACTCGAACCCATGGCTTCATGTTACAAGAAAGGGGATTCCAATTTAAGCACCAGGAAGAACTTTATGATATGAAGAGCTGTTCAGCATTGGAACTGCCTTCCATGGAAGGTAGTGAATTCTCCTTTCATGGAGGTTTTTAAGCAAGGGGCAGGTGGCCACCTGTCTGGGATACTTTACTGGAAATCCCTGCATTGTGGTTGGTGTGGGGGGTTTTTTTGGAATTTTTTTTATTAAGAATTTCAACATGACAAATTATCAAAAATACATCATCTTCATTTCCCCCTCCCCATTTTTCCCTCCTCCTCCCCCAAAAAGGAAAAAAAACCCCTCCCACCCCCCAGACTTCCCTCAGCTCCTCTCTCTAGTTTTTCAGCATTTGTTATTCTCTGCATGTCCCAGAATTGTAAAGATCCTTAATTTATCTATCTAAATATCACCAATAAAAAGTTTGTGTATGTTTATTCAAAAACCTGCCAAGGAGACCAGTTCATTTTGTTGTTTCTTTAAGTACTTTGTGAAGGGTTCCCATTCGTCTTTAAAGTCAAAGTCGTCCTTGTCATGTAATTTATGTGTCAGTTTTGCCAAGGAGATCCCTGCATTGCAGGGGGTTGGACTAGATGACCCTTGGGATCCCTCCACTGAGAATGCACTGATCATTCCAGAGGGGCCCTGGGAAGCCCCTCCCCTTTTGGATCGATTGGCACTTGCTCCCCCCACCCCCAGCGCTGTGACTCACATTATTTCCAACCACATTATTTCCAAGACAGTGGCTGGCGCTGTGGGTTAAACCACTGAGCCTTGGGCTTGCCGATCAGAAGGTCGGCGGTTCGAATCCCCGCGACAGGGGGAGCTCCCGTTGCTCGGTCCCTGCTCCTGCCAACCTAGCAGTTCGAAAGCCCAAAGCGCAAGTAGATAAATAGGTACCGCTCCAGCGGGAAAGTAAACGGCGTTTCTGTGCGCTGCTCTGGTTCACCAGAAGCGGCCTAGTCATGCTGGCCACATGACCCGGAAGCTGTACGCCGGCTCCCTCGGCCAATAAAGCGAGATGAGCACTGCAACCCCAGAGTCGGCCAGGACTGGACCTAATGGTCAGGGGTCCCCTTTACCTTTTTAAGACAGCATCTGGCCATGGAGGCGTCTCAAGGCAGCTGGAGAAGTCTCCGTTTGCAACCGCGTGAAGGATGGTGCCTGAGAACTGCTGTGGGCATTTTAAATTTCCTGGCGGGTCCTATCCAAGGCCCTGCTGGATCCACAACTATTTTTTACCTCCTGTGGCCAGCTGATAAATTATAGCCAAGTCCTCTGCCAGAGGAAGGACGGCGTGAGAAATAAATTGCTCGGGCCAAGGTCTTCTGCTTTTCCTTTGACTTCCATTTACGCTGATAGATGTAGCTGTCTCTGGCGAGGTAGCCCACAGTAAAACTCTCTCTGAGAGGGGCTCCCTCTTCCTGGCTCAGCTTCCCGGCCTGTTTTCCCATCTCCTGCCCGGATGCCTGTTGTTCCAAGTGTCATAGAATCATAGAACTAGTTAGACGAGACCCCACAAGGCCATCTAGTCCAACCCCCTGCAATGCAAGGGTCGCAGCTAAGGAATCCCTGAGGGATGCTTTAAAAACATGCAAGGAAGGAGAGCCCACCACCTTCTGAAATAAACTTTGAGTCTGAAGCCACTGGCTGTTATTTTTAGGACTGGGAGACCAGCACAAAACTTTCATATACACCACAGGTTCCAGGGTTGCTCTGCATTTTGGTGTGGTTTGAAATACATGGCATATAGAGTTGCCAAATATCCTGTTGCGATGAAAAAGGGTTAAGCTCCAAAAGTGAAAGGGGTGGAAGGAACACAAGGAGAGGTATACAAAGGCGAGCGGCAGGTCAGATTTAGGATTGCCGGACTACACAAAGAGCATCCTGATCAAATTTGCAGATGACACCAAACTGGGAGGGGTGGCTAACACCCCAGAGGACAGGATCACACTTCCAAACGACCTTGACAGATTAGAGAACTGGGCCAAAACAAGCAAGATGAACTTTAACAGGGAGAAATGTAAAGTATTGCACTTGGGCAAAAAAAATGAGAGGCACAAATACAAGATGGGTGACACCTGGCTTGAGAGCAGTACATGTGAAAAGGATCTAGGAGTCTTGGTTGACCACAAACTTGACATGAGCCAACAGTGTGACGCGGCAGCTAAAAAAGCCAATGCAAATCTGGGCTGCATCAATAGGAGTATAGCATCTAGATCAAGGGAAGTAATAGTGCCACTGTATTCTGCTCTGGTCAGACCTCACCTGGAGTACTGTGTCCAGTTCTGGGCACCACAGTTCAAGAAGGACACTGACAAACTGGAACGTGTCCAGAGGAGGGCAACCAAAATGGTCCAAGGCCTGGAAACGATGCCTTATGAGGAACGGCTAAGGGAGCTGGGCATGTTTAGCCTGGAGAAGAGGAGGTTAAGG